AAAAGATAATTCAAATTCAATTCAAATAAACTTTTATTCAGTAAAGTATTTTATTCACAATAAAAATATATGATAACTGCTCATCGCCTATGGCAATTGTAAATAATAAATACCCGATGAAAACCTAATTGCCTAACTAATTAGGTAGGATATTTAATAGGATTGTAAATGTGCTTTTGCCGCTATAGATGGCGTATGACGGTTTAACAGTTTAAATAATTAATTTATCGGCAATTAAAGAACTCGGTCGTAAAACTTTAATGACGATAAATTAAAAAAACTTAAAGAACCAACTGGAGTGATTTCAAATGTTAATAATAATAATGATAATGATAATGATGATGATAATAATAATAATAATAATAATAATAACACCAATAACAAGCAATAATCATAATAATAATAAGCAATAATAATAATGGTAATACTACCTTTTATTTTCTAACTCCAAATGCCAAGTATCAATAATGAAATAATTATAAAATCCTATTATAAAATAATAATAATAAGCAATAATTATAATAATAAGCAATAATAATAACAATAATAATAACAATAATAATAACAATAATGATAATAATAATAATAACAATAAACTCATCAACTAACATTGCATTAGAAGAAGCCATCCTTGTTTCTTACATTTGTTATTATTATTAACCTATCCATCTATTATTATTATTATTATTATTATTATTATTATTTATTGTTATTATTATATATTATTGTTGTTATATTGATTGTGAATTTAGGCGAAATAAAAAAAATAATGTTGCAGGAATTCACTTTTAAAAATATTATCACTGGAACGGAAATTACGTCACCAAATTTAAAAAAAAGGCTAACTTACGTCATTGATAACCTAGGATAAATTATATAGCGCTATAATTTTTGAAGAAAAAAATTCTGAAAAATGAGCAAACAGTGTATTTTTTCTAGGTAACCCTAGAAGAGATAATGAAATCGTGTTCCAAATAATCGAGAGAATGGTGCTATATAAATATGTATATGAATGTATATACACATACATACATACATACATATATGTATATGTATATATATATATATATATATATACATGTACACATACATACATACATTCGCAGATCATTGTGTACACTCGCCTTTACGTACACATATATTTCATCCATGTAGGTGAATTGTATTTGTTTATATGTATATATGTATGCATATATGTGCGTATGTGTGTATGTAACATAACATAACATAACAGATATGTTATAGTGGTTCAGCAAATATCTCTGAGTAAGAACCACTAGATCGATTATGAATAATAATTATAATAATAATAATAATAATAATAATATGGATTTAAAATCCCAATCTTCAAAGTCTGACTTAGAACTCATGCGTTGTGCAAGATGTTAGAGTTTTTCCGTCCAGCCTATGTTGCTTCAATCTTGCTAAATATTCACTAATTATTCATATGAGTTTGCTGAGCGGAACCAATCTATAAACCTACAAAAGTGTAATCATCGGAATGTCATTCCAGAATAATACAAAAAATTAATAAGAATAATAATAAATTAATAATAATAATAATAATGATAACAAAAAATAAAATTCTTGTTTTTTTTTTTTTTTTTTGTTTTATTTGAAATCCGACGCCATATTTGACATTTTTTTGCGATGTTCTTCAGAAGATGGCTTCAAATTTCATAAAGCAGAGCTCGGAGCTTCGTTTCAAAAATTTTCGCGCGTTTTCATTGGTTGTCGTTCGCTGGACGTACAAACATACATGCATGTGTGCATGCATGTATGCATGCACACATACCCAACAAACATACATAAATGGATTAATGTAAGAATGTATGCAAAAGTGGATGAGTGATCCAATGAATGAACGAATGAAGAAACAAACGAATGGACGACTGAACGAACAAATTAGTGAATAAACAAATAAATGAGCAAAGTTACATAGACGCAATAGTAGCCGAAATGTCAAAAGGTAGGTACGGCGTGTGGAAGCATTAAACTTAAACCTTCCTGGTTCGAAAACGACCTGGCGATTATTTATGGATCATCATCACCATCATCATCATCAACCTAACCTACCTGCAACACGTACATTGCACACTTATCACGGGCGGGTCAATGATGAGTTTCAGAGAAATGAAATGAAGTGAAGGAGTGAATCACAAAATACAATTACACACACACACAAGCACGCAAGCACACATGAACGCGGGCAAACACATACCTGTACACAAATACAGATGCATACACACACATACACACGTACAAAAACTCACATTCCCAAACGACATACATCATCTATCTATCCCACCAGTCCATTAATTCGTTCGTTCGTTCATTCATTTATTCGTTCATTTGTTCATTCGTTTCTTCTTTGATTCCATTTTTCGTTCATTTCTTCATTCATTCATTCATTCATCCACAGTGGCCCACGCAATGGCTTCTTGCGAGTAGGCACTCAGTCATGGGCGTTATGCGTGGAGGCACAACAGAGAAGGCACCAGTGCAACTCCTTTCCAATGTTTGTGACGAGCTAAATTCAAGGCCACCATGTAAACCAAGAAAAATCTATGTCCTAAGAGAGGGCGAATTGGATCAAACCACGAGAAGTGAAGCTTGCAACCGAAAAAGTATTTTTGATAACGGCAGAGATTGGAAGGTCATGGCAGATTTGGAGGGCATGGGAAACTACCCAGCGTTTATACAGGATACAGGAGCGAGACCGGACGTAATGGTACAGTCGGTATCAGCAGACACTGCCATTTTAGTCGAACTGGCTGTTCCGTATGAGGCTAATATAGCAAAAAGCCCCGCTATAAAAACAGCCAAGAATGAAGAGCTTGTTAATGAGATAGAACAACGTGGGTTAAGGTGGTTGTTGTACGCAGTTGAGGTCGGTGCAAGAGGTGTTGTTGCTGGTTGTTCAGTGTACAGCTTTTTGAAGGATTTGGGTTTGGCAGATAAAAGACGATCGAGTTGTGTGAAGAACATAGGACATGCAGCTTAACAAACATCTTACTGGATATGGTTACGTAGGAAGAAAAAGGAAAGCGAGTTTAATGATTTAACAGACGAATTAAACAGCTCGTGTGCCAGTAAGGCTTCCGACTACTCAACACTCCCAGATTCGGCTTAGCGTCTCACTTGTCGGTATAGCTCACATCGTGGTATGTTTATAAGTGAACTGTCTGGCACGCTTACAAAATTTTTCAGTATAAAAAGAGGTGATTTCAAAGCAAGGTAAATTGTTTGTTCAGCATGAGACATCCAACTGATCTCTGGATGTGGCCCTGTTTATCGAGAGTGTCAGGAAGGTAAAGGGCCGAAACACTCGTTGACGGAAACTCTTCCTCTGAAGACTTTCGCTGAACGCTCGTTACGTTCGGGTTTCTACATACATACATACATTACATACACACATACGCACATACATACACACATACACACATATATACAAACATACAAACACACGTACGTACGTACATACATACATACAAACAAAACATACATACATACGGAGATTGCGATCAATAGATGGACCAAGCTAGCTATGCTGTTATACGTTTTTGCATTTAAGGAAGCACTTCACAGATACACATCTCTCTTTCTCTCCCCCTTCTATTTCTCCTCTCTTTCTTTTTATTACTCTTTTTTGTCTCGTTCTTATTCACCCTACGTGGCATGTATGTGTATATGTTTGTTTCATTCTTTTAATCTTTTCCTTCGTATTTTTTAATTTCCAAAGTTTCCTCTCATTATCTTTCTCTCTCTTTAATCTTTTTTTTTCTCTGTTACTTTCTCTCCTTCCCTCTTTCAAGTATAATTCTGTAAAAATCATTTTATGCATACTGATGCATCATTTAGATCCCGCATTTTCATAAACATCAATCTGCGTATTAAACAATAAAAAAAATGATGTACGTAGTTGTAGTAGCACCATTTAGTAGTAGTAGCACTACTACTAGTAGTAGTAGTAGTAGTAGTAGTAGTAGTAGTAGTAGTAGTAGTAGTAGTAGTAGTAGTAGCAGCAGCAGCAGTAGTTGTAGTAGCAGCAGTAAAAGCAATCGTTGTTGACAAAACTTATTCCCAAATGAACCAACTGCGTAAGTGGATGAATGGTTTTCAGTGAAACGGTAACAAGTTCTTATTAGCGTCACGCTAAAATGTAAATTTTTTATACCATACTTTTTTCATAATTGTAACAAGGGCAGTTCGGAACACAAAACGAAACGATTCGATACAATACATTACAATACAATACAAAACGATACAATACAATATAAATCAATACAATATAATATAATATAACACAATACAATTTATGGTATTGTATTCAATCGGAATGTATATATTGTATATGTACGTATGCATTTTGTGTGTGTGTAAATAATGATAATAAATAAACAAATAAAAATTCAACAATAATAACAGAGATCATTTCAACAGGTTTATCTTTAGACTATACGTGAATGGATGGTTAGGCGCTAAAAAATTTCCTCATGATAAAAACCAACGAACCAAACAACGAACCAACCAACGAACCAACCAACCAACAACCAACCAACCAACCAACCAACAACCAACCAACCAACCAACCAACAACCAACCAACAGCCAACCAACCAACCAAC